AATCAAGAATTCCATTGATGCCCCACGACCTGGTTTAGCCCATGACAGAGAGCACAGATGGGAAGTTCGCATTTGGATTAAAGCTCCTTCTGCACAACGCAAGTCCTTCCCAGCATCTTTAATGCTACTACCCTTGAGACGTGAACATTAAGCTGCATTCCTTCTGGCCTGTTCTTCAGGAGGAAAATTCTGCCTTCAGACTATATTAATGATTCTACTGATGACACATGAGATGAAACAAAGCACAGCTTATACCACAAAACCAGCATTTTTCTAGGCTAGGAGGAATAATAAAGAAACATATTAAAAGCATTGATGACAGCTAGTTCTTCTGGCAGATTAATAACATGAGGCTGAAAGTACTTCCTGATCATCTAAATTGCATATCCATAAAAGGTTTCATGTTCAAAGGGGTAACATTTGATTGAACCGTGTTTATATTTAGAAAATAAGGACCATTTTTTTCAAGAACCGTGTTAGATTTTTTTGTAATGCTTTTCATATTTCCCTATTTTTTTGCTGCAATATTTTACATGCTTTTGTAAATCACTTAAAAAAATTCTTGAACTTTCAGGAGACGGAAGGTACTGAAGGCTTTAAGGCCTGACTGAGCACGTAAACCATCTGTAGCTGGCAAATTTACTTCCCCTTATTTTCAACTGAACTGAAAATACTTGGATTGTTCATGAACATTTGTGTGCAAGTGGTTGCAGTAGAAATGGCATTCCAGTGATGCCCACCTTTTCCTGTCTGGCCCCAATCCTTCAGTTATATCAACCTGGGAGCTGCGGATTTTCTCACTTAGGAAAAGATAAAATTTGCTACAATAGTTCCAATTCTATTGCCTAAATAAGAGATGCTTTTTAGAACAAACAGTGGTGTCAGAACTGCAAGCAAGAAAAAGAAAGCAACAGAACCCAATTAACTAACTCAGTATGATTATTTCTATTCTTGCATCTTGCACTGCAGCTCAGTATAACTGCATCTGGTATGGCTGTCATATTCTGTATTCTGAAGGAGTGTCAAGAATCTAGGATAATCTTGAGCACATGGATGGGGATAAGAGCTGAAGATTTGTTGCTGGGCTGAAAAATGACCAGCGCAAACAATTGTTGAGCACATGTGGGTGCAAATATGCTCATGATATTCTGCAATGGGCCTAGTAAAAGGAAGAAATTCAAGAAGATCCAACAGTCCCAGCAATTGCTGATAAATCAAAACCATAGATGCCAACTAGTTGCATTGCAACTCTAATGGAAAAGATGTCCTTTGAATAGCTTGACTATACAGTCAGGGAGGCATTTGTGAACTTGGAGTGGCTAATGAATAGACAGTGGACTGCTTTGCAATCAACTCCTCAGCTTTTCTTCTGCCTAGTACTTAATCTGAAATTCTCTAATTCCCTCAGAACAACAACAACAAAATAGAAGCCACTAATACGCTAATACTCTTTATGCTCAATAGCTACCAATGCTCCCAATGATTTACCCAAACAGTTTTGAATCTTTATAAAGTTTTAGTATCTATGCTATCCTATGGCAGGAGTTCCACAATGAATTACAATTCTCATTTCCAGCCTGCATTTTGCTTCTTGTGTCTTACTCGTTTATTCTTGTGCTTTGTCCTTCAGACAGAATACCTCTTCTCCCTTATCAATGTTCACGTGAATCCTACCTACCTTAATAAACAACTTTTTCTGTCAGAATACTAAAATTAGGTCATTTACACAATGCCCAATCAGTGCTGAATATAGATAACCAACACAGTTTAACAAGGTAGTTGAGTATCCAATGTAGCACAGCAGTCTCCCACAGCTCAGAAAGATAAATTAACCTGAATGGAGAACCACTCTGATAGAACATTTTTTAAGCAGTAGTAGCTGGAGCACCTAGATCCAATGCTACCATGTTTGCTACGCTGGTATCAAGTCATATAATTTATTTTTAATTCCCATTCACATACGTTAATGACACAATTAATGTCACACAATGACATTTATGCCAATGTCACAGCATCTCTGTACTAAGAAAACCTGCCCTTCGTGTGGCTGTTCAGTTCAGTCCAGCACACAGTCTGTGAAAGAGCTGTCATGCTGCACAGTAGCTCTGAATAACACTGCTGCACACATCTACGTAAGGACTGCAATAACATATGCTCACCTAACATATGTCTGAATAGGCCAGATTATTCATCTCATAGTCTGACCTGAAATGTTCAAAACTGTAATGACATAAAGTCTTCAGACTATTTCAATACTTTCTAATTCCTGTAAGCAAAGAGATTGGAGTGCTCCACGAATGGCTCTTGAGCAAGACTGGCTGATCAGGTTAGCTGTTACTGCAAAGATGCTCTCCAAATTATTATTGTCCGTCCCAGAGGTGTTCCTTCCAAGGTGGTGTTTCCTAGTCGTAGCCAAAAACACACATTCAAAAATCACTTCAGAGTAGGCCAGCAAGTATGTTCCAAACCACCCTCTTTCACAAGATTTTCAATAGGAAGGGGGTAGATAGGTTTTGGTAAGCCCTCTCAGCACACTGAGATGGTCTCTTGTTGATAAACTGCTGTTTTCTTTTTATTCATCCTGGTAAATGGACCACGTAGAGCTCTGTATTCCCACCTGAGGAATACCAGCAGTTCCCAGAGCAATGTGAGGGTTAAGAAGTGAATTATCTGGCACTAGAAGAAAATTCTCTAGAAACAATCTGGGTTTAGCTGTTCACATTTCTGAACCATCAAGGGAAATTCATATAAAAGGTAAAAAAATTCAGATGTTAACTTTGCTTTTGTTTGTGTAGACACATGGGAAATATTTTCCAAAACATTTTTTGTGCTTACCTACTGTGGAAGCTGCAAATATTTGCAGAGAAAGAACAAAAGGAATGCAGGGGAAAGGAGTACTATGCACCATTTCTATCTCATCCAAGGACATATGTCTTGGAATCCATAATAAGCTTCTCTGCTCAGAAACTTGTCAGAGCAGGCAGTAATAAATCATTCAGGCACTCACTCAGTCATTCGCTTCATAAGTCCCACTGCATACCACGTATCTTGAGACTGCTATGAATGTACATAACTCTGAAAATACAACAGATTTAGGGAAAGAAAAAAAAAAGCTCAGACTGGAGATGTCCTACAACCATAGTAGTGCTAAACTTATTCAAGAAAAGGAACAAAACTTAGTATGAACTTAAAAAAATAAACTGTTGTTATTGACATGACCAAAAGATAGAGAAAACTGTAAGTTATTATTTTTAAATACTTCCATATGTTATTCCATCTGACAAGAAACTAAGGAATGCACATAGAACTGGGACACATTCAGATTCTGCTTGATCCTGTGTAATCTCCATCTCTTAGTTTGCAACACATGTATGTTTTCAGAGGTAGAAGGGCTCTGATCTGTAGGAGGAATCTCTTCAAATCAGGATGTGATTTGAAACTGCCAAGGAGTTGAACCTTCTGAAGTTGGCACTGATACTCCATCTCTTTAAATGAACAGCATGGAGCATAGCTTACCAGCATTCAGTACTGCCTAGCTATTAATGGAGGTCTGAAGTGGTTTCCTTCACTACTAGTGTCCACCTTCTTTGGATATTGCTAACACAGGACCTATCAATTTTATGTGGTAGATTTAATTAGTATCTCTGGACTGGGACTCCTCTGCCAGTATTGCAACAAATCAGCAGTAGTTTGCCACAAGGCAAGAGCAACTTTATGCAGTAACTAGGCATAGTTGAAGCATGCATAGATCAGTGACAAATATTTATTAGCAGGAAGGCTCATTCAGGAGGTATTTGCCTCCTGCCCAGTTGAGTATGCATACATTCCACACATCCAAACTAAGCACACAACTGTGTATTTTTACCCAGGCTCACTTATCAGTGTAGATCACAAACCAGCAAAACAGTGATAAGGGTTTGGGGAAAGATGATGTTTACACTGGCAGATTTTCTGTAAACGCTTTCCTGGGGAAAAACAAGAACAAGAATACATCCTGGATCAGTGAAATCCAGATCCAGCTGCTAACTAAGGGTCACTGTTTGCATATTGTCCATAAAAGGAAATTGATACACTTCTATCAAAGCAATATATCTATCATAAAAACACTAGGCAGTGCTAGCCTTCAATTGCTGTTTAAGAGATGTCAAAGAAAATACTTTTTTTCTAAATAGAAAGACAATACTTTTCCATTTATTTCCAGAGAACACAAATCCTGAAACATGGAGTTTTTCTAAGGAAAAAAACTTTAGTGGAGACCCTTTAAAAAGTGTTTGTAAAACATTTCTATCGTATAACTTTGGATTACAAAACCGTGCAGGTGTATCTTTGAGCTCTTGAACTTTTTCAAATGAATCAGCATGGAAAGAACTTTCTCTGACAGAAATATGAGATCTCAGGATAAACTCACTTGACTTCTGTTTTCCATCCATTTCAATAATGTATTTGTTTTGTTCGTTACTTGAGTTTAAAATATACCAATGCTAGATACAGTACAATAGTGGGACTAAAGGACAACTAAGCAACAAAAGTGAAATGGAATTTACAGTATCTACACCTCTTAATTTAGATTATGAAAAAGATGTATTACCATGCTACTTGCTATAAACTCAGATGTTCATAACTAACTGAGCTGGTCCCCAAGCTTCCTCAAGAAAACTGCCATTTGTCTTCTTATTTACACCTCACATGATTTTGTAGCTTAACATAGCAATGACTGGAATGAATATCTGCTCTTGTTTAAAGTGTGACTGTAGAATCAACTGATTAAGGCTGGTTCTGGCAAAGAATAATAGACTAAATCCATAGATAACTTCATGGCATAAATCTCTCTACCAGGAATACTAGGGAGAAAAAGAAATCCCCTGAGTGTTTAAGCAAACCTAAGCTTCTTGTACCTGTTGCAGAATGGTAGGAAAAGCTGTCAGAAATAAAAAACAATCTCATACCTCTACATGTTGCTCATAAACAACAATGAAATGAAATGTTAAAACAGTACTTACAGCTTGAGAATATCAGTGGACATGAGTGTTCATCCATTGGGAAATTATGTAGCTGCAGCTGGCACTCAGCATTGATGGTAAGCCTGTTGAGAAACCAGGTGTCTGTCACTGCACCTCAACAGTATGAACAGAGGAGGCTGCTGAGCAGCTTCAGGTGGACATGCAAGAGCTTTGATACCTATAAAGCCTGAAAAGCTAAAATGTAGACCATCCAAAGGCTCCTTAGGCTGAATCCAAAACAATAGCAACTATCAAAAAACATAAATAATTCAAAAATGTGATTAAGAGTTTTCTGATCTAAAGAAATCTGTGCATATGTTTTTCTTGAGATGATCACTAAACAAAATGGGATGGAATCAGCTGGCAACAAAACTGCTGATGTGTGTGTACATAATTCCACAAAATTAAAATTTAATAAAGAATCTTATAGGGAATCCTCTCTTCATCTGCTTACAGTGTGAAGTTAAAATCTGTTGAGTTGTTTTGGAATACTTCTCAAAAACCTACAAGATCTCTGTACAGCCCCACTTGAAAGCTTTTTTTACGAGATATCCTAGCACAAAGGACACTATGTGTGGTCTTGATTTAAAACTGACTGTTGGATGGTCTTCAATCTTAAACACTGTGAAGTGGATCTATTTACATAAGCATATTGTTTTAAGTGCTCGTTTACTGTTGAGTGTTTTTCAGGAAAAAGACATTACATGCATGCCAGAAGTTATGCATGTGTGAGAGACAGGTCTTTTCAGTTCTTGGTGCTTTGTTTTTATTTTCTAATGTTATTTAATATTCAAAAGCTAACAAGCTGGATTTGGAAAAATTGCATATGAGATTTGGAGTGGCCCAGAGAAAACTTCTGTGCTGGAAAAGGTCACTTATGTGGAACTTCTGTTTTTAAACTGATTGTACAATAAAATTCAGAGTGTTACAGAAAGATTAACACCTGAAAGTAGGCAGGCAAGAGGAGGAAAAGGAAAGAAGCCTGTCTGAGCCTTTTACACAGAATGGCACCTTCTCCTGAATGCAGAATATTTTTCAGAACACCACAGAACCTAGACATGCAGTTACTGGTCCCATGCCACGCTGATTCTGTGTGATCACCAAAGTCAGACAAATTACTTGTTTCTTAATTACAGAGTGATCAATAATCTTTCTAACAATTTCTCACTTGAAAAAATACCTAATCTCACAACCCATTTGGTCAAACATTCATTTTTTATCTGATTTAGGGAAATTTTGTAGCTTGTATGACAGTTTTTTACGTAAATATGTAAGTCTAACAAACATTTAAGAGACAGAACTTGCTCTGAAGAACTGAAATAAGACTACAGAAAAGAAAAAAGAAAAAAAAAAAACAGAAGAGGTGATTAAAGTTGTCAACAGAAATAAGCAAGAGCTCTGTCACCACGGAGCAATTCTATGAAGGGAAAGGCACTAAAAATGTCAGTAGCATTTCCAATTGTTCAATTTATTCACTACTGTTTCTGAAGGACTTGCTACTGGAGCCCAACTGCAATCAGAAGAACAAACACAGTGCTGAGAACAATCAGTGCAGAAAATGTAGCGTGAAAGCCACGTTTCTGAAAAACTGCCCTGTGGAGTTTGGCTTATGGTAGAACTCCCTTCTGAGTAATTCATCTCTTCAATAAATAAACATATTTTGATTTCCACAGGCTCTTTTTATGCAAATATATACATTATTTCTAATACCATGTAGTTGATGGTATTATGAAGATAAGAAAAATTCTAAAAGCTTTTCCTCCAGCGATTCACCCTTTGATGAGATGTGACAGACTATCTTTCAGTGTGACTTATTTGAAGAATCAAGTACTGACATTATCATGAATCTGGAAATATTTTATCTAGTTCTGCACCTAACTCTGATCAGAAAGGTTTCTGGCAGGTTTTATGGAACTACATGCCTCCAGTTTTATTAAAAATCCTAAAATAAAAACCTGAGTTCCACAATTTAGATAGACTTGTTTCCTAGACTCGCAGTTTCTTTTTCAGAAAGATGAGACTTTGCTTAAACTTTGCAGTGCTTATAATGGAATATTTCACTATTTGTCAAGCAATGTCAGGTAAACATCAGGAATGAAGTAGCAGAGGAGAACAAGGAAATTACTCCAGATCCAAAAGTGCAAGAAGCATGCTGAATGCTCACCTGAGGGTGTACAGGATCTTGCCGTCATTCCATATCCGGAGCAGCTGGTTTGGGGTGGTGATCCAGTGTGCTTCTGCTGTTTTGGAGTTCCGAAATATTGTGTCTGGGATCCAGATCAAACCAACCATGTTGCTGTTCAGAGTCAGTATTTTCATGGTGCTGTTGAAGCGAAGACGGCTGTCTGTCCACGTCTGAGCAAAAAATATATCAATTTGATATTCCTGCAATGAAAGCATGATATGCAAATTGAAATCAGTTCTATACATCTCAATACATTTGGTCTTTGATAAAGTCTATCTGGATGTGGAGCAGAATACATTCAGGCCAATGGAACTATGTTCTCTTTCTTTTTTTTTTCCCCCCCTGAAACAATTGACTTATTCATACTATTTATTTATTTTTTCTCTGGTTACTTCTGAAGACAGGCTAAACACCTTCCTTACTTTGAACCTGTGCAGTAATAATTTTGGCACTAGCACATTCTTCTCCCTTGTATCTGAAAAGACAACTGCAAGATACAATTTGTAGAGACATCTCTGTCATAGGTCAGAATGGTGAAAAGTGTGAAAAAAGAACAACACAAGTAGCTGAGGAATGGCAAGTTCCCATGACTTTTGCAATACAATTTTTGTTAGTTAGTTTTGTGGGCAAATTCAATAAATTAATAATTTTCTTTCTTCCCAACTATTCAGCCACACTTTTACAGAAGAATTCAAAATTGTTTTTTTCATTAAAGACACCTCATGTACTTCAAGTGCTAAGAGCTGTGTAGTCACTAACTTTCTGCCTTGAGTATACTAATTGCACTGTTTACATTAATCTCATCTTTTCTCTCACTCCATGTTTCCTGTTTTGTTACTCTAGTAAGCACAATAGGTATAACAATGCAGAAATTAAAATACAGACAGACGTATAGGCAAAGCTATATAGGTGAACACAGAAACACACTGATATATGCATTTAATACCCCATAGAATAAGTTGTGTTAAAAACAGCTTTTGGACCATGACCTCTGGTGATCTGGAGCCAGGAAAGCTCATGTTTGCATTTGCCTGTCTTACGTTCCTTGTCCTGCTTCCAGATTGCTCTACCTGTGAATCCTGTGGAAACATCTGGTCATGCCATAAAAGGCCCTCTCAGTGTTGCAGGGGGGCTGCATTCACAACAGGGATGGCATTTGCTCATAGGACACAAAGCGTGTGCTCTGCCATGCAGGTGAATGCAGGGCTGAGTAGATCGGAGGAAGTAAACTCCTTAGGTCACTCGTGGTACGTGCACTCTTGGTACATCTAAACAGTGGAGAATTTATGCTCTCTAATACGTCTTTGCTTTTGATCACTCTGAACTTGTTTTTATTGCTTTTTCATTTTTCACTTCCCAGGTTTCTCATTTAATAGATTCCCTACTGTAAAAATAAATGCTACTACACCGACAGCATTCTACATTTTTTATAGAGAGAAGAACCTATAGTCTGAACTGTGGAGAGCATTTTTGCTAAAAGCATCTGGTTCCCCTGCTCTATTAAATTTTTGGCAGGCCATTCTTCCAGAGCTGATGCTGTAATGCCAGGTAACCTAATTCACTGACACTGTAATCCTGGTCCTAAACATGCTTGAGGCCTCTCATCTCTAAATGGCAAATGATCAATAGGTGAAGAAGTGGTGCTAGCATCTATCCATCGATCACCTTAGGAATTAAAGGCAAGGCATCAAAGGAATTAAGGACCAGTTTTCTTCATAGCCTATCTCACTGCTATTTTTCATTGTATTAGCTTTATTTTCTTGGTGAAGCTGACAGATTTAAATCTGAAGAGACTCTTCTTTCATCTCAATGAGATGATATCTTCACACACCTAAAGGATGCAATATACTATACAGAGCAAATCTTTATTGGTACCCAGAATTCTGATCTTGTTTTATTACACTGAACTCTCTATCATTTTATCCTTGAAAGACCAGTGACAAGAGTTACTTTGCCACATTCAGCTTTTACAGAAAGGCATACGCCAGACGTGTCTGTGGGTTTCTCCAAATGCTGAGTGAGTAGAACAGCTTTTCTTAGCTCACATGTGGGAATCAATATTTATAGAATCAACTATCATTTGTATACAGCTGGCTAATGATGATGCTGTCTTTTCACAGGACAAGCTTTTGCATAATATTCATATTATTTTATATGAATGCTTTATTTTGACTGTCAAATGTTTACTAAATATAGAAGAAGCCATAATTCCCTGCTGGTAAGTTGTACATATTTAATGGAATTTTGAATTTTAGGATTTAGGGTATTCAGGATTTCACACCCTCTGAAGGAAAGAAAGCCCTTGAGAAGTGTCCTGAGAAGGTACTGCAGCTAGATCTGATCTGAGCACATTGGGCACCAGAAGCAGTGCAGGTACCACTCTGTGGATTCCTTCCAAGTACAGTACTCAGTCTGAGAAACAGATTACGTTAGCCTAGAAGCAGGGCTGCTCTAACACCACTTTTTAGCTCCCACTTTGCTTTTCCATCATTTATTATCGCAGTTAGAACACCTCAGAAATGACCCTTCTTCCACATATCTCCTCAAGGAACTACTGTAGTTTTGTTCACTGTAATAAAAATGTTACAGCTCAAATTAAAAGATTCACAGATCTTCTGAGTGAGTTAGTCTGTTAAAAATATACTTTACTTTTTGAAAACATAGGTCATGAAAAGCAAAGTGATGCTTTAAAAAGGAAAGCCAATGAAAATTTGAAAGTAAAGCATTTAATTTTTCAACACTTTATTTTTTTTTAATATTTACAACATTGAATCAGAATGAACAGAAATTTTGCCCCTACAATTTTTTTTCAGTAAAAATGAGCCCATGTTTCCATCTAATATCTGAATTTCAATTTCATCCTTTATATTCTCTCCATTAATCCTTTTTAGGAGATGTTGGATCAGTACATCCTTTATACTAGTCTTTGCAGTTGCTTCAGTTTTCAACTGAGCAAACAGTGGGATATGCTATTCATATATTCACTCTACAAGGAAGAGACTGAGGTTAGTTTCTCGGCTGAAACTCAGTTCTTTACTTCTAATGGAGTTAGCTCTATGCACACTTCAGCAAAATTACCTTTATCTTCACTGAAAATAGATACTCAATTCTCAGTGAAGTCAAAAGCTTCTATATGCTGCTTTGCACAAAGCTAGTACAGTGATCTCAAACACATAGAGCCCAACAGAAACTGACAGAACAAAGGTTCCTTTGTTGGTCTCACACACAACTTAATAATAAAACAAGACAGGATAGAATAGAACATACAAAATAATGCTTTTCCTTTGCTGTATAATACCTGCCATTTAGACAAATGCCTATGGTCAATGGAAGTTCTTCATGAAAGTCAATGGTTGCACTGAGTATCCAGGCAAGACACCAAGTTTTCAATGGAAAGATGCCTCAGTTGAAGCTACATCCTAAAGTTCTAACAACATTCTTTATGTTCTACCAAGACACCAGAACTGTTGCTAATATCCGATTCTTTCTTTACCTTTTTTTTTTTTATTATTATTATTATTTGGTAGCCATCTCTGATTATTACAATGTACAGAAGAAGAAATTAAATATTTTCATCCTCTCAGTTGCAGAAAGGCGAAATTGCATTCTTCAAAAAAATGATGCTAGGTTCAAATACAGGAAAGTGTTCTGCCACCATGTTTTCTTGTCTTCCAAGCACTCTGTCGTGCCACCAGAACAGACTCAAGATTTTTCCTGTTGTACTCATACTTATCTGGATATAATAATTAGCTATGCTGCATAGCAGCCACACTTCTGAACACACTTCTGACATCCGCCTTGAAAAGAGGCAACTCTATAGTGAAAAATGGACCTACATGTTAACATGAGGGAAAATTTTATGGAAATCTTATTTCTTATTTATTTCTGAAATAAGAAAATTTCTCTGATGCAAAATAAACTTAAAAGCATTGATAGAAAAAGACATTATCAGCTTTTATAGATTTCATTATGTTTGGCTTATCGAAAGTAGATTTGCAGAGCACATTACATGTGTAATTTAAATTTTTTACACTTACAAACTTCATAAAAATGGAATATGTTTGAAGCAGAGTTTCGCAAACTGTCCAAGTGTACAGAAAGCATTTTCTTTTCTGTGCTGTGTTCACAATGTACATTAGAGAAACTGGAAGAAGGTGAAACTAGAATATAACAATATTTCCCAATAGAAAACTAGTGATACACAGAAATACTCAGCCAAATTGCTACGTACACAACTTTAGACCTTTTAAGAATATTTAAATTTTCAAGAAATTTTTAAGAAATTTCAAATTTTCCTCTTATTTAGAAACATTCTACATCTACAATCTAAAAGCAATGTATGTTGGCATGAAAATCTCTTATCACCCAACAAGATTATCTTTGAAAATGGAATTTGAACATAGGTCTTTAACAACACTCACTTAACTTCCATAAGTAACCTCTAAAACCAAGAAAACACGATCCTTTCACCTTTATTGCATACAAGCAATCATTTCATGGAGAACATTTCTGTCATTTCAAGTGCTCCTTCTGTCCTTTATAAGCTCTCCTCTCAGTCTGAAACTTTTGTTGAGAAAGACGACTTAATGAGATAATTAGAAAGAGAGTCTGAGTTTTTTCCAAATCATACGATGATTTAGAGTATGTTTTTCTGGCTTTGTGGAGAACAGAGCAGTAAGCTAGAGACAATTTTTCTTTCTTTCTTTCTACTGATTTGTCTACAAAGCGTGACATAACCCAAAAGCAACAGCAGTATTACCAGCCATAAATAGTGACACACAGCCGGGGTTCAATCTATTTGTTTTTATCATTTTTTTCACATTTTCAAATATTTTTAGCATGGTTTAATTAGTCCCTTAAAATCAAGCCAGCAGTAAATTATTTGCTCTCCAACTGTGCAGGAATGATTAATGATTGGAAACATCTTGAAAGTGTTGTGTTTTGAGGTACCTGTAGTCACAGAGAAAAATACTTTGTTTTCAACCAAGTTGTCAATTGTTTTCTCAGTCAAAAGAGGAGCTAATGTATGTTGGCATTAAATGAAGCTTTTCTCTGACCAAAATGTATTATTTTAGCTGTGGGTTAATCCTCGAAAATAGTATTTAATTGGCTGTCACAGTCAGATGATCTATTTGGATGGCTATGGATAATAGTATGGTATGCCTTTGTTGCTTCTGCTGCAGCCTTCTCATTTTCTGTA